GCATGTGTGTGACAGGTGCAGATGTGTGGCAGGTGTGTGACAGGTGTTTTACAGGTGCATTGTGTGACAGGTGCAGGTATGTGACAGGTGTTGTGACAGGTGTTTTACAGGTGCATGTGTGTGACAGGTGCAGATGTGTGGCAGGTGTGTGACAGGTGTTTTACAGGTGCATTGTGTGACAGGTGTGTGACAGGTGTTTTACAGGTGCATTGTGTGACAGGTGTGTGTCAGGTGTTGTGTCAGGTGCAGGTGCTGTGTCAGGTGTTGTGTCAGGTGCAGGTGTTGTGTCAGGTGTTGTGTCAGGTGCAGGTGTTGTGTCAGGTGCAGGTGTTGTGTCAGGTGTTGTCAGGTGCTGTCAGGTGTTGTGTCAGGTGTTGTCAGGTGCTGTCAGGTGTTGTGTCAGGTGTTGTCAGGTGTTGTGTCAGGTGTTGTGTCAGGTGCAGGTGTTGTGTCAGGTGTTGTGTCAGGTGTTGTGTCAGGTGTTGTGAGGTGTTGTGTCAGGTGTTGTGTCAGGTGTTGTGTCAGGTGTGTGTCAGGTGTTGTGTCAGGTGTTGTCAGGTGCTGTCAGGTGTTGTGTCAGGTGCTGTCAGGTGTTGTCAGGTGTTGTGTCAGGTGTTGTGTCAGGTGCTGTGTCAGGTGTTGTGTCAGGTGTTGTCAGGTGCTGTCAGGTGCTGTCAGGTGCTGTACCTGTCTGGGCGATCAGTTCCATGCAGCCTTGTGGTGTACAGGGCAGGAAACAGTCTCTGAGTTCCCCCCGAGAAAGTCTCCCAGCGTTTACACACGACAGACTGAAACAAGACCAGGACCAGGACCAGGACCAGAGTCAGGACCAGGACCAGAACCAGAGTCAGGACCAGGATTAAACCAGGACTAAACTAGGACTAGACTCAGACCTGCTGAACTTCTGACCCCAAATCAGACAGAAGCTGAGCTGGAACTGAGACTTTGATCAACTTTATTGATCCACAAGGAAATAATGGACTAAACCAGGACTAAACCAGGACTAAACCAAGACTAAACCAGGACTAAACCAGGTCTAAACCAGGTCTAAACCAAGACTAAACCAGGACTAAACCAGGACTAACCAGGACTAAAACCAGGACTAAACCAGGACTAAACCAGGACTAAACCAAGACTAAACCAGGACTAAACCAGGTCTAAACCAGGACTAAACCAGGTCTAAACCAAGACTAAACCAGGACTAAACCAGGACTAAACCAGGACTAAACCAAGACTAAACCAGGACTAAACCAAGACTAAACCAGGACTAAACCATGTCTAAACCAGGACTAAACCAGGTCTAAACCAGGACTAAACCAGAACTAAACCAGGACTAAACCAGGTCTAAACCAGGACTAAACCAGGTCTAAACCAGGACTAAACCAGGTCTAAAACCAGGACTAAACCAGGTCTAAACCAGGACTAAACCAGGACTAAACCAGGTCTAAACCAGGACTAAACCAGGACTAAACCAGGACTAAACCAGGTCTAAACCAGGACTAAACCATGTCTAAACCAGGACTAAACCAGGACTAAACCAGAACTAAACCAGGTCTAAACCAGGACTGACCCGTCCACGTCCTTGAGCGGGGACACTGCGTTGGTGATCAGGTCCTGGTCCATGAGTCGGTCTGAGTCCAGTGGAAGCTGCACGATCAGACCATGAACCTCAGGGTCCTCGTTTAGACCCAGGACAGTTCTGAGGACCTGAGGAGACGAGGAGACAAGGAGGGAGGAGACAAGGAGACAAGGAGGGAGGAGACGAGGAGGGAGGAGATGAGGAGACAAGGAGGGAGGAGACAAGGAGACAAGGAGGGAGGAGACGAGGAGGGAGGAGATGAGGAGACAAGGAGGGAGGAGGCAAGGAGGTAAGTGAGGACGTAAGGAAATGTGTTGAATGGTTTAAAATGTTCTTCTCCTCCTCAGACAGGTGCAGACAGGTGATGGGTTCACCTGTCTGCACCTGTCCTGTCAGGTACAGACAGGTGCAGACAGGTGCAGTACTGACCTCGTCCTGAGAGGAGGAACTCGGGAGTCGGATGTGTTTGGCATTGATCCCGATCTGAAAAACAGATTTAATCATTTATATAAACCAGAACTAAACCAGGACTAAACCAGAACTAAACCAGAACTAAACCAGAACTAAACCAGGACTAAACCAGAACTAAACCAAGACTAAACCAAAACTAAACCAAGACTAAACCAGAACTAAACCAAGACTAAACCAGGACTAAACCAGAACTAAACCAGGACTAAACCAGAACTGAACCAGGACTAAACCAGGACTAAACCAGAACTAAACCAGGACTAGACCAGAACTAAACCAGGACTAAACCAGAACTGAACCAGGACTAAACCAGAACTAAACCAGGACTAAACCAGAACTAAACCAGGACTAAACCAGGACTAAACCAGGACTAAACCAGAACTAAACCAGGACTAAACCAGAACTAAACCAGGTCGAAACCAGGACTAAACCAGGTCTAAACCAGGACTAAAC